CAAATGTGCATTTGATTCTGTAAATAGGGACCTATTGTTTCATAAAATGAAGATGAAAGGTATAAACGGAAAAATGTTAGATATTATAATGACCCTGTATTCAAATGTAAAAGGTTGCATTAAACTAAATGACACAGAAACTGATTGGTTTGAGATGGAAAAGGGTATAAGACAAGGTGATAGCGTTTCATCGACCCTATTAACTATCTATATCGATGATTTAAGTGAAAGTATTAACAACCTAAAATGTGGTGTACACATGGGTAATGAAGGCATGTTAAGCTATGCAGATGATGTTGTTTTGATATCGAGTAGTAAAGATGGTTTGCAAAAACAGATAGATACATTATATCGTTGGTCAAATACTTGGAAGTTGAAAATTAATACTGATAAAACCAAGGTGATGGTGGTATCAAAGAAGAAATATGAAAACTTTGAAAGTTTAGAGTTCAAATATGGTAAATCTTCACTTGATGTAACAGATATATATCACTATCTTGGTATAGATATTACATATAACTTAGATTTTTCCTTAACTGCTGAAAAAGTAAGTTATTCTGGAAGTAAAGCGCTTGGAGCTATGAGGTCAAAGTACCTACAATTGAAAGGTTTACACTTTGATATTTACACAAAATTATATCACAGCACAGTCGCATCGGTAATGGATTATGCATCTGGAATCTGGGGTCTGCATAGAAAAACTCATAGTTTTACCAATAAAATACAATTTAATGCCATAAGGACCTTCTTGGGTGTCAGTAAAAAATGCCCTATCAGCTTTTTAGAAGGAGCTAAATTAGAGTGGGGATGGACCCCAAATTATATAAGGCATTATATAGAAGGTATTCGATTATTGTATAGATTAGTTGTTAATTGTGAAGAGGTCAATATGGCAAAGAAAGCATTTAGATGGGATTTAAGCTTAGCCAAATTGAAATGTGATTTTACCTGGAACGAAGAAATCCAGAGCATATGTAAAAGTGTTGACATGCTGAATATGTATGATGATATTAAAAAATGTAAAGATTTAAAAAAATTTGTGAATCAAATGAAAGGAAAATTAATGAAATTACATGAAACTCAATGGTTGGAGACAATTAGGGAAAAAAGAAAATTGACTTTTTATAAGAGCTTTAAATTATCTTTTCAAAGGTCTGAATATTTATTTTGTAATTTTTTGAGTAGAAAACAAAGATCTGTTTTAGCTAAATTTCGATGAGCACTTTACCTTTAGAGATTGAAACGGGTAGGTGGCAGAATATACCAAGTCAAGAGAGATATTGTAGGCAATGTAAGAATGAAATAGGTGATGAGTTTCATTTTTTATTCAAGTGTAAAGTTAATCATAAATTAAGAGAGGAAATGTTTTGTAAAGTAAAAGGTATATATGATCTATTTGAGTCTTGTGATAATGAAAAGAAAACAATGTACTTATTGAATTCTAAATCACTCTGTAAATATGTTTCAAATTTTTTGCTTTTGTCTTTGGAGGCTAAAGATAGATTAAGGTAAGTGTTAATTCTGACTTATCTGCTTATAATATGATTGTAATTGTGTCTCATAAGCCTTTGGAGGCTGGCCGTATAATTACGGGTGACACTGTAATAAATAAATAAATAAATATAGGCTTATGCCTTATATGTGTGAGGGACCTCTGCTCGAGAAAGATTTTTTAAAATTGTGGTCAGTTTTTGTAACCAATGTTATCTTTGATAACTCAAATACTAGTTGACCGATTTGACCACGTTTAAAAGGGAAACATGGTACAGTAAAGTTGCAAATGGAGGACATGGGTTTATTTCCACATTTCTGAATGTAAAATAAATTTTACATTTATTTCCAGTGTTCTACCAGACACAAAACAAATTCATCAAGCAGTTTGTAGAATATCGTTGGCAAAAAAACATATAGGCAAAGATAGAGCACAGTGGGCACAGTGAAGTAAAAATTGAACGCAATACAAGATACATTTGAGTAAATCTATTAACGTACAGGGAGCATGTAAGTTTCACTTCGAATATGTTACTAGCACTTCTTTTGACATTGATATATAACAAAAAACTCAGTAAACTGTTATTTATACTGCGTGTCATTGTGTTATATGTAGATACGTTTTCTACTATATTATTCAACTGTTTTGTGAATTAATTGTTTTTCTAAAATCTTAAGATGAATAAAAAGTCCCAGAAATGTATCTTTACTTTGCCGTAGGACAGAACATATTGTCACAAAGAGGATAATGTTTGTTTTGAGGTGCCTGGTGACACGCGTTTCATGAATAAATGCAAAATTACTGGAGCAAATTTTAAGTCTATAATTTTTTATAACGATTACTGAATCAACATCTTAGTGCATTGAATATATCAACTAATACAATTGAATAACATTGTTGTTTTGTGTAATAAAATCTGTATTTATCACAAGTTATACTGTGAACCATATTACACGAAAAAACACACTTCAAGGGAAACATTATGACGCATAAATAAACGAACCTACGTTTTTGAAGCTTATTGAAGTGACTTTTATAACCAAATCAAAACTATAAAAAATTTTGTATAATCAGCTTACTTTCTCGCTCCCTGTTCTATTGAACAACCTGGCGCCCTGTATTGATTAACTTTTGAAACTATGTACCCTGTATTATGACATATCAAATATTTTCAAATTGAAAGCGATATTATTTATATTCTTCCTTCAACCATCATATAACTTTGAATATGGACTTCACTATTTCACCATTTAAATTCAGTGAATAGCAATATTGACTCAAACCTGAGCACCAAAAGTATTAACCTGTTGACTAAGCAGTCGATATACTCAAAAGTGACCTGGTTGAAAGTCAAAAATCTCGCACATGCATTTTCGGGTAGGTAGGAGGTAGGGTAGTTTGACTTTAAGTTGACTTTCACATTACACATAATGTTTGAAAACATTATTCTTGGAAGAAGATCTTAAAAATGGTTTTGAACTGGAGAATAAAGGGTAAGTCACAAATAGTGGCATTGAAGATGTGTATCTCCTTTTCATCGACTTCCTCTTCTTAAAAATGCTGAAGTTTTCAATCATTAAAATCAATTTAATATGATTATTTGTTGAAAGAATTATCTCTGAATATACTTCCGGGTGATGGGATACTATAATACTCTAGTTAATAGTAATCACGGATTTATAGCATGACGGTTACGTTAATTTTGATTTGCAAAATTTTGCGGTAAGTTAACGATAGCAAAAAATGACGGATGGGAAAGACAGCATGTCCTCTTTCTCGCCTGTAGGCAAGATTCACAGATAAGATTTCCATTTCAACTAGTTCCATTCGGTGACGTATATATGGATGGTTATAAAGACTGGGTCAAATTTGCCAGGTGGTTTACTAGAAGCAGAATATAAGCTGTAAACTTACCGACTAAGATATCCAAGTTCATAATTTTTAGTCCATTCTCGTCTGATTCTCGTGTTTTCTCAGTATATGTGCCTCAGAGCCACTAAAACTATTAACTAAAAAAAAACTGTGTATAAACAAGCCATAAAATGACAAATCCAGAACAGGAACGTGGTAAATGTAAATGATTAGGTTTCAAAAGCAATGTCGTTAGACGGCTACGTATGAATTCTATGGACGGTAACGTATTGTTTTAGTTGTACATTAGATATTTAGCGGACGGTTACATACATGTATACCTTTCAAGTCAAGGTTGCTAGCTCTGGTAGCCTCTTTCCATGTCATTGTTATAATGGGTAAGAAATGAAATATTGAATTGTAATGACAAATAAGAACTTGAAAATTTGATTGCGCCGCAGTGTTGCATTCTGGGAGTCAATCATCCTTGGATCACAAACATGGCGATTCCTGAAAACATTCCTTCGATTTGGTAGGGATTTTCCATCATTTGCAGGTATGAAGCTTTGGATTCATTTATTGTGCTACTTAAAGTGAATGGGAATTATTTTTCTACCGCTTTGGAGAGTTTGAGACACGAAACTTAGAATTTAGCTCCTTGTGACAACTTTTGATGGTTGAATTTTATTTTTGGTCCTCACTGTATTTGTTTTCAGGACTCGCAAGAGGCGTCTATAGGGCAAGGGAAAAATTGTGTCTTGCTTTATTTATGAAACCAATGAAAGTCAAAAAGATAGCATTGAAGAGGCAAACGAAGAATTAGCATCAAGTTCTGATGGATATGACAAAATTAATAACAATTAATCGGGGATACATATTTGATCGAGGTTATTGCTATTGAATGTGTTTAAAAATGTCGATATTTTAGAGATTTTTTAGTATAAATAGTATAAACATTGAACAAAGTTCAATTTACACCCCAGATAGAATCAACCATGGGCTTTCAACTAGATGGATGAATTAGCATAAACTGATTAAAGTAACATAATCTAATAACTATTATTACAATAAATACAGAATATCACATCATTTTGAGTGATATCATTTTTATCGCCGAGTTGATATCAAATATCAACACGAGTGAGCGAAGCGAATGACTGTTGATATTTGATATCTACGAGGCAATAAAATGATATCACGAGAAATTATGTGATATTGGGTTTATCCCATGATTACACTCACCTTGTGATGTTCTGATCCAAATTCCAGGACATTGGCAGACAATATAAACTAGAAATTAGAATATCAATTGAATATTTGAAACACTTTGTTTTAGCAATTAAAAGTAAATTAAATGAACATGTAAACATTGTTTTTTGTCAGTTTTACGTCAGCTTTATAACAGTTAATATTATTGTGACTATTGTGACTGTGACGAGTCAAACCAATGAAATTTCAGTCATGAATTACGTCAATTTCCCGTGCAATCTTTGGGTAGATGTTGCAATTCCCGGATGCCCAAACGTGTCAGGAATACATATATACTTGAATGATCTTTATTGGACACATGCGTCTCGAAATCGCCACCTCGTGATTAAAGCGCCTAATCACTTAGCCTGAACGTGCGGGTTTTCAAGCCCTCTCGACAACCCCTTGACTAGAGGCAGCTGATATTACGCCAAACACACCATAGGAAGTACAACTGACATTTCCTACCCCCTGCTGCCTGCCTGCCTGCCTGCCTGCCTGCCTGCCTGCCTGCCTGCCTGCCTGCCTGCCTGCCTGCCTGCCTGCCTGTGGCAGAATATTGGACTCTGTGCCCATACCATCCTTCACGATCGGGCTTCACTGCTATAGCAGCGTGAAACTGTTGAAATACCCTTGGACAAAGGATGTGCCCATACTGCATGTACCATAGTATAGCATATGAGCAATGTCCGTAATTTATTTTTTGAATTTCTGTTGAACTTCTGGTTCATGGTTTATCAGGTTTAAGGAATAGAATCTTAGTCTATGATAGAAAATCCTACATTTTCCTTCGTATTCAAGTTCTTTAAATATTGCCTTGTGCTTTTTAACTAAACGAAATGTTAGTAGTAAGTTACATTTCTATCTATGAAAGTTAAAAATCATAATGGTAAGCGAGTAATCTTATGTCATATACTAAGGAAAAACATCTCATTATATTCGAAGTTTATATTTGTACCATTATTTACTTACACAACGATTAATAATGACATTTTGTAAAAACACTAAAACGATATGTGTCCTTTAACTGACTTTAGTGTTCACATCAACAATTTGCTAAAATACTAAAATATTTTATAAATCGCAAAAGATTTCTCTTCAATGTGATATGCATTATTATGAGATATCAATGGGGCTAAAATGGGGCAGAAATGTGTTTCCAGAAACTGAATTATTATTCCAGAAAATTCAAGAACTGTGGTTACCCTGTTGTGGCAGCAATAGCTATCAAATGATTCAAATAACAATACAGACACCACAGATCATTAATGAAAAAACAGTTTTTAGTATACACTCACATAAGGATTTATTCTTTCAAATGAATCTCATGTAATATACATTAAACCGATTGACATCTGCCTGACCTCAACGTTGTTCAGACAATCTTATGATTGGTTTACATCATGCACTTTTCTGGGAAGTCGGCCATCGCTTTTGCATATAAGTTGATATTTAGGAGACTAAGTCTGTACACTTGTATCTCATCTTCATGACTGACTGTAGCTCCAGCTGCCTTTGCACATTTTACCACGTTGTTAGGTACACCTAAACAATTTAAAGTATCATTTGTATGTGCATTATATATAAATATTGCTGTTTGTAATTTTTGTAACTTTGTTACATATTGCATTTCTTCAAAATATGAATATTGTCAGCACATTATTTGAAAATTCTTAAATGTGCTCAATCTCTAAAATATCCCAAATCAAAAAAATCATAACAGCATCCCATTTCCACCAAATACAGAATTGCCGTCCACAAAAAAGTTAAGTCCACTTAGGTTAGGAGACACAAAAAACTTACTACTCCATGAAACAATTGCAGCCATGCAAGTACCGTACTTCTTTTTCTGAAGCAATTCAATCAGATCTTTATCCACTTGCGTCATGGCATTTTGAATGCATGTCAACATTTCACTAGGGACATCTGAAACAAAGAATGTAAGCAATGTATTTCTGCACTGGACGAGTGGACGCTGTTATAGAGAACCGCTCCCATTCGTCTTACATTAATTCTCGAGAAGCCTCCCAATTATTTCCCCTTTTTGGAGATGAAAAGGATGGGGGTCGCAGGAGATTGAAGCACAACTTATATTTACTATTTTAAATAAACTCTTACTAATTTCTTTATATAATTTCGTGTTAAAGATGAAGTCATGAAAGTTAATTCTTCCCAAATGAAAGTGGTAATATATATTCTAGTACCAGAACTATATAGTTGATGTTTATGCAGTGTTGCCCTTTATGGTTTAGTATCATGAAATTATATACTAGACTGATGAGTAATGTTGCCATTGCTTCACAAAGCACTGACGAACCTACCTTCTAGATGCTTATCAGCTGCAACTACTATCGCTCTATTGTCTGTAAGAATAATAGAAAAAACAATAGAAAATAATTAATTTCAAATGTACATCTATCAAAAAACGTATTGCACCAAAAATGCTTAGGATCATTAACATACGCCGTTGTCTCTGTTATATAAATTGTTATTGGTCAATGTTAACAACTAATGCCAAAATGAAACTGTGTTGTGGTCAGTTAATAGTCGATCTTAGTTTACCTGTATTGAGGAAAGGGTGTAACACTGTAGTGTCAATGTCGCAATTAGCTTCTTGCTTTTCAGCAAGTTCAATATCCCAAAGAGCTGCCATAAGCCATTCTTGTATCAGTGGGGCTGATGTGTCCTGACAGGCCGATAGTGCTGGGCGATATGCATCCAATAGATCCTACAATATTTAGAGGTTATGTCACTATCGTGGCATATATGTCCGAGGTCTCAGTGATATATGACCCGACCTTGGGAGGGACATTGATCTCTGAGAACCGAGGGCATATGTGCCACGATAGTGACATAAACGATTTATAACATACCTATGATGATGTAGACTGGTCAGAGAGTACCGTTTTCTTATAGAATTGACAAACAAATGGTTTGAAAATGATTGAAATGAGTTTAGAAAAATTGCTCGCGCAGTTTTGTCTTCGATTGATTGGTTATGACGTCAGCGCCTTGACCAATCAGAAAGTTAGCGGGCGCGGGCTCTTCAAAATTTATATTGGCCCGCTGTCTTGTGTACACTTTGCACTATACATTATCATAGGTATGTTATAAGACAGCGTACTGATAAAGTAACATAATGGATGACTTTTCAGTTTCTAGATTTTTATTCCTAACCACCAGTATATTCTAAAACTTGAATCTTTGCTTCAGTTTCGAGCCAGATTACAACTCTTTGCTACTCTTTTCATTCGTTCGACTTCTCGCTTCTTAAAAGCGAGCTTTGTTTAGACTCAGGGTGAATCTTTGCTACAGTTTTGAGCCAAATCATAACTTTGACTTATTTGTAGATATAAATTGAGAACTCGAAAATCCATATCGGATACATCAATGACGCTACGTCGCAGTTAGCTAATTTGGGAGGGGGATGGAAAATGAGGATTATGTAGATGTAATGTACGTCACTTTATGATATTTGTTCTGTTTTGAGCTTTCTGATATTGGATCTGTCTTGAACTTTTTGAAATAAGATCTATCTTGAGCTTTTTTGTTGTTGGATCTACATCCTCCAATCAAAGGCTCCAAGATCCCGGATATCTTCTTTCTCTTTCCCCGGGGAAAGGATTAATGGGCTCTGTAGCCCTGTGTTCAGAAGATGTGGATCTATATAATGTCAGGTGAGAGATATATGTACAGTGTGACACATTAATACTTTGTACTATGATGACTTTGTCAACTGCGATGGAATCTCATCGTTATTCAGTTTATCATAAATGCATAAAACGACTCACTTTGTTGAATTGACAAATACTCTGGCCTGCCTTGTTTGTAGCACTTTGTACAGCATCCATCATCATCTCCTCACAAGTACCTAGGATTAAGGATATGTGAACACAGGTTGCACTCATTGATTGCATTCATTGATTGCATACCTAGGATGAAGGATGTATGATCACAGATTGCACTCATTGATTGGACACCTAAGATGAAGAATATGTGATCACATGTTGTACTCATTGATTGCACTCGTTGATCAGGGCTAGAACAGTTTAATGATTCAGCAATCCAAGTATTTCGCACATGATATGAAATAGGTCTTCCTGTTTTCTCAAAATACACCAAATGTTTACATTTTTTATTCAAATGTATCCTTTTCTTAACCGTGAGCATTTGAAAAATCAATAGTACACGCCTAACCATCGACAACGTACAGTGACAAAATATACCGTTGTACACTTTCGATGTGTGGTGTCACTATTCTTACTGATATGAAGCAAAAACTATGATGCGGGTGTGATGTAGGATTTAAAAATTAATCTGAGGAATACATTAAGAATTTCATGTTTGATTTCGTGTGTATTCGATTTGGAAGACTGTTAGCTTTCTGATTATGTTAAAAGAATTTTGAGCAGTGCTCAATTTTTTTCGTAGTAAATCTACCCACCATCAATGATCGGTTGGAAAATGTTGTTTTTCACATTTCCTTTGATCATATTTCCCCTGTCGCCGAAGAGCGTCGATTATTTTTATGAGAATATGTTTTCCTAAGTTACACAATTAAGGATGGTTGAAGATTTAATAAATATTCACGTTTTGACTAAAATAATAAAAAAAAAAAAATCACAAGTGTACGTTGTCATCTCGATGTACGTTGTCCCATTGAACTTACATATCGGAATTCACTGTTAATTCTAATGTAGACAACGTATTTTTAATAACACTAATGGACAGGGGGATCAGATTCATTTAAAATTGAAACTGAACAATCACAATATTACTTCAACTTGATTGAACTATTGAACCTCCGCACTTTCGTGATATAGCATAAAAGGGATTTTAAAAAGTCTTTTTCGACAAGCTAGTATAGATCTCTCTATATCAACTTCTTAAGATTATTAAAATTCATAAAAGTGTATCATTACGTTTGAGTACAGACGCCACTTTATCTTTAGAACATCTGTTTAGGGATAATTGTACATGTTCGTTGAACATAACTTGTAACTCATTAAAACCTGGATTTTGAAATAAAATCATTGCATTGTTTAATATTACATCTCGTGCATTTCAATTACACTGACACCGTACAGTGGAGTTGACAACGTACACTTCTGTTTTTTTAAAATTATACCTAATACATAATATTTATCAAATCATCACTCATCCTACATTGTGTAGTTTAGAGAAACATATTCTCATAAAAATAATCGACACTCTTAGGACAGGGGAAAAGATGATCGAAAAAATGTGAAAAACCCAACATTTTCCAACCGATCAATTTTTGTGGGTGATTAACTACGAAAAAGATCGAGCATAGTTTTTGCTACAAATCAGTTAATAGTGACACCATACATCTAAAGTGTGCAGCGGTATATTTTGTCACTGTACCTTGTCGATGATTAGGCGTGCAGTAGGTCGACGTTTTTGTACACATTTCATTCAGATTATCCGAATTCGACTCTACCAGTGCATCAGACCAACGTTTAAATCTTGGCATCCTAATGTTTATATTTATCAACAAAAGATGGTGTAGTTATTTGTATATTCGTTTTTATCGAGGGTACTCTATAAGGGTATGCCATCTTTTCAATCAAAGGTTATCTTTGGTGAAAAGTGTGCACGCGCCTGTCAAATGCTGTTTTTCTAAATAAGTTATTTTCCTTGCTTCAATATTAACGGCACAAATCAAGCTTTGTATCGTATTCGATTGAGTGCGTGAGTAACATGTTTCCATGTTTTTGTTCCTTTTCTTATACGAGGTGGTCCAAAAAATGGGACACTCGTATTTCAAAAATAAAAATTCATATCATTGGTGAAAACGTATCATATTATATACCAGTGAATATGGAATTTACTTATCTTTAATTTGGTTTATTATTAGTTCAAATTTATTATAATGCATGTCAACCAGCGTCCAATTCAAATGACGTCATTTTCGTTTCAAAGCGGTTTTTCAAAAATCAAGTTTTTTGTCAACATAACAGAAGTTCAATATGTCCACTATTCTGATCAAATATAACCCTCAATCTTGGCATAAACTTGTTGATATCATTATTGATATGCTTTTCAATGAATAAATTCCACTTCTCCACAATTCTGTCCTTTAGGGGTTGAATATAGGGTTCATGGTACACCAACTCTTAGTTCTCCTCATAGGTGGTAGTCGCAGAAGTTAGCATTAGGTGTTCTGGTTTGAGAGGGAAATTAAGGGAGATGATTCAATAAGTCCTACACTGAGGACTTATACTGATCTCATATTCTGTTAGTTACATTTTCCAAAAAGAAGGGGCTCCAAACCATAGATCCCACAAGACAGTAAAATATTTAAATGAGAATGTGCCTAAATTCATACCCCCTTATCACTGGCCCCCAGATCACCTGATGCCAACGTCTGCGACTGCCACTTATGGGGAGTGTATCATGAACTCCTTACATCTTTACAGTCGCTAAAGGACAGGATTGTTGAGAAATAGAATTCACTGTCAACTGTTCAACAGCATATCATTGATGTTACTGATTAGTTAAGGCCAATATTGGGGGCTATAATTGATCAAAATGGAGGACACGTTGATCATCTGTTTCTGTAGACAAAAAAACTTGTTTTTGTAAGTTTTTGAAAAACCGTTCGTTTTTGAAACGAAAATGACGTCATTTGTATTGACGCTGGTTGACATGTATTATAATAAATTTGAACTTATGATATACCAAATTAAAGAAAAGTAAATTCCCTATCCACTGGTACATGTATATAATATGACATGTTTTCGTAAATACAATCATTGTTTATTTTTGAAATATGAGTGTCCCATTTTTTGGACCACCCTGTACGACGCATAACTTGACTTTTTTTTAAGGCTTGTTGCTAGTGCACCATAGAAGTTCTATTGCAATAAACTGTGATGTCTTTCAAAAGAATTATATGTGAGTGTTTGCGCTGGAATGAGTTTTTTTTGTTGAAAACACATGAGCATGCAATGAGCACTGCAGGGTTTATTGTTCTTTTCAGTGATACCGGGGGATCTCATTAAAATATTACGCAATTCACTACAACCGCGGGCATACAAAAATACAGCACTTAACTTATTTTCAAAATTTATGTATTATCAATACCACTGGCGTTTAATGTATCTCAAACATCATGCCTAGTAACACAAAACTCACGGCACATTAAACACCAGTGAATACATGGCATCGATCAGCAATTAAACTTTCATTAATAGTTATTATTTGTCAGTATATCTCACACCCCAGTCACATTTGTCGTACGGAGGCCGTGCGTCGACCGCAGATCAATTAAATAAGTGAATTTCTGCGGCGAGCGTAGGAAAACTACGCTCGCCTTGCGGCCTCCGTACGGCGTATCCAGTTTTTTACAGGCCGCAGGGTCGCCGTAGAAATTATAACTCGGAGTTATAATATTTGTTCATTTCTGAGGTCCCCGTAGAAATCAACTGGCTCAACAAGATTGAATTATTATTTGTCAATGTTTCACGATCACTTTTCATTTGATATAACATCCTAGCACTATGAATAACATTTATAAATTGTCCTGATGTAAATAAAATGAAAAAAAGTATTATTTATCAACAGAAATTTAAAATTCACCGTGCGGCTGCCGTGGGAAATGTGACTGCAAAAGTATAATCTTGAGCGCAGAAATTCTACGGCGAGCGTAGAAAAGCTACTGGCCGCAGAAATGATAGACCGCACGGCGGCCTTGGGAAATGTGACTGGGGTGTTACCCAACTCATTCGCCCTTCCTACTACATTCAAAATGGCACAATTTTTAACATCTTTATTATTTTAAGAGTTGTAATGTGACCAAGCTAATTTTATTTTAACTGTATTTTAAAACTCACCATCAGCTTCGCGACGAATGGCTCCCTGGCAGATGCTAAGAAGCAAAATTGCGCATGTTAAAGTCAGAGTTGTCTTCATGGTTGTCGTTTGCGCTTTCTTCGATGATGAGAATGATTCGGCATGGACAATCATGTTTTTATATCCAATTAGAACTTAACCCTGGATCCATTAAAATAAATAATGCATTATTTGATGTTCATTTTTACTTATTGATAGTGGTTACATCTATGGAGTTTAATATTTTCGACAAATTATTAAGTTATTATCACCACCTGCAGACCTGTGAGGCATGTTCTCAGGGTTTTAGTACTAGTTTAGAAGGCCAATATTTTACCATGAAGATTATGAAGAAATTACTAAGAAATATCAGGAACTTGATATAGTTTATTGCTTTAACTAAAAGCTATTTATCTTGGACAATATAAACCACCCCAAAGCCATGTTATAGTCAAATTAGTAAGATGCATTTTCTGATCCAATACGATTTCGAAGTTATTGTAAACGGCATAGACATCCTACACTCTGAAAGATTGTTTTTCTAGCATAATTTTGACCATATTCAGATGATATATATAGGTTATTTACTGGGAGGGATTGAATATAGCTTTTATTCCGAGGGAGAATATGATATTGACCGAAGGGTAATATGATATTGACCCAGGGAGCGCAGCGACAGAGTTTTAATATGATATTGCCCAAGGACAATATCATATTTTCCGAGGAATAAAACCCATATTCAATCCCGACCAGATATAACTTATTTATTCCATAATACATCCCTATAAAATGTTACATTTGGATAATGCAAACATTATATTAATAAATGCACATTGTTTAAAGTTAAATTTCAAAGTTTATTAACATAATTGTTTATGTAAAATATAATACTGTTAAAAGAATAAAATGCTTTTATCTGTTAGTCAAGGTTAAAAATATCCGGGAAACCAAAAATAGGTTAATAAGCTCCAATACGATTTTCCCGGGGACAATACGATTTTTTCATGTAATACGCCCCAATACGATTTTCCCGGGGACAATACGATTTTTTCATGTAATACGCTCCAATACAATTTTCCCAGGGACAATACGACTTTCCATGTAATACGATTCAATACTATATTTATTCCTACATTTCCCTGGGAAAAAAGTAGTATTATGGAATAAATGATCGAAGGGATCTATAAATATCCAGTATCGTAAAAAACACTGATGAAAACATTTATTTATTCAAATTAATACTTTGTGTTTTTCAAATATATATTTTAAAAAATTCTTGGGAAGGAGCAGGGGCTGGTAAGGACCTGAGCAAATACTGTATTTACGAATGAGGGACGTATTGCATGATTTGAAGGTCGGTATGCCTATTTTTTAAACCGTTATCAAAGCTGTTTTCATATTAGATTTTATCAGCAATTGGCTATGAAATAACACTATATAATAATCATAATGATAATAGATCATTAACGAAAACAGTTTTTAGTGAACAGTCACATTAGAATTTATTTTTTCAAACATGTATAATACATGAAAGCGACTGACATCTGCCTGGTCTTATCGTTGCAAGCCAGTCAAGCTTATAATGACTGCTTTACATTAATTGCACTTTTCTGGGAAGTCAGTTATTAATTGTGTGTATAAGTGGATATTTAGGTCACCGAGTTGGTACAGGCCTAGTTCATCTTTACAGCTCACTGTAGCTCCGGCTGCCTTTGTACATTTTACTACCTTGTAGGCCATACCTAAACAATTTAAAGTATCATATGTGCATTATTGTTTAATTTGTAAACATTCATTATGAATTGATTATCAAAAAGTACATTTAAATATGACTAAAACTAGAATCCCAGCAAATCTGTTACACGTTGCATTGCTTCAAAATATAAATATGTTCGCAAATTAAGAACATCGTGACAGCAACTCCAATATTTGCAGAAATAGTATTTGTATAATAATTCTAGCTATAATTTATCTGGGTTCTACATGCTATTTTTTCCACGAACTATAATTTAAATACAACAGTCAACAATACATGTTACATCGATCAACCATTGTGATAAGTTACCCATGTATGTGTTAATTTCATCACATGTTTGGCTATCTATTATCTTAACCTTAGTCAATGGAAAATGTACATCAAAGTCATTTATAGAAGGGAGGGGATGTCTATTAGAGTTCCTATAATATCTTCACTTAAAATATTATTTGGGTATTCTTATTTCTAATATTTTAGGAGGTTTTATACAAGGGGCGATCGAAACACATAACCCTAACATTCAATTTTTTCTTAAAGAAGTCATCCACCTCTCCATGTATCTTTATGGGGTAGGTATACTAGTATACACCATACTTGTTTTTGGGATCGCATAAATCATCTCGCGCGCATTTAGTCTAGTTATAAACTACCGAAGACGAAGCTCTCTTTTAAGAAGCGAAGTCGAACAAATGCAAAGGGTACTCATCTCGATAAACACTCATTTCAAGATGTTTTTCTTTTTAGCTGGCTGACAATTGTAAATAATTTGTATTTGAATTTTCATTTTATTTCCAGACTTGTTTTCACAATTCCTGCACAGTTTGTTTTCCATTGAAAAAACGCCGTTTCGCAGTATTTCATGATTAGAAACCATCAAATGAAACGAAACTTCGTCGAGAAGTTTAATTGAGTCTGTGGGTTGATGGTATCTCATATTTCCAGTCACCCTATTGGGAGTACTAATCGTTAGTCGCCGTGGCCAAGTTTTATTGCATAATATGTAAATATATTTCTTAAACAGGTGCTTTCGCTTTCCAGGAACAATTCAACTTTTCGAATTCGAATAATGATTGATGCGTCAAGAATTTAATAATACAGAATGAAACACCTGCTTCATATACAGGGTGGCCCAAAAATGCCACTTTTTTCAAGACACTATAACTTTTTTTATTTTCCAACCTACATACCCCAAATTTTGCAGTTATATAGTGCCGAGGGTCCTTAGTAATAATATAACGTAACAAGTCCTTCAACTGGGATTATATTTGATCTAAAAGAGGAGTTCAATTGGTCCGCCACCCTATTTGATGATAGATTTTAGTTTTCGTCGCCTTGCTGTATCAATGAAATGTTAGCTATATTTTTTCAACGTGTCTTAATTGCCAGCTTTAGTTGAACAATTTTTTAGATTGGGTGCCTTCATACAATCTCCCGGAGACCTCCCCATACCCTATACTCATTTGGGTTTGCATTAGGGCTATTAGCTTGGCGGCCATCAGGGCGTATCAGTTTAGGAACATTTTGCAAATTGATTAAGTGAGACGCTGGTGACGTATTTTATTCAAGTAAAAGTATATAATTCATGATCCATGGCTAGGTAACAACCTCAAGTTTCATTTGGTAAGCAAATTATGAATTTGTATCAAAAATTTAAAAAGTTATATAGCATTTTGAAAAAAGTGGCGTTTTTTGGCCCCAGTATAAACCACGTGGTCGTTATTTTAATTCATGTAATAGGACTAATTAAATGGACATCTAATTGCGTTCCCATTAATTTGTAGAGATGAAAACTGTTAAAAACATCCTCCGATGATTCTATTTTCGAAATATGCATAAAGGTTTATGAAGTCGACTGTTGAGCCTTTGTTAAACACGCCTGGTAATCGGAAAAGATGAACGGAGGAGTCAGAGTAACCTATATCTGCTAGAAAATTCGACAAACCTGCAAGATTTTTTTTCACGGAAGTTTACGAACAAATTACTAAATGAATAGGTGCACGGTATTGTAAAATCTGTTAAGGCTTTCTATGATTTTTTCTTTTTTCATATTTAAAAAGGCGTAATGTCACCAACGTGCAAAATTCGATCAAGCATTGGGGGTCTACATGACCTTTCATAAATACTTATACATGGCATCACAAAATGTATGTCGTTGCTTTTTTTTTAAAAATCCTCACAAAACGTTGTAAAAATAATCAGAATTATATAGTGAACGGAGGAGGAAGTAATAATAGATAGCTTACTCCCCCTCAGTTCACTGTATGTTCTGATTATATTTTTATTATTTTTTCATAAGATTTTGCAACAAACAAAACCTTTCAAGTTTCAAAATGCAAATATAAATTGTATTGATGGGTCATCTCGATCACCTCATCATATTGAATGAGTGCTGTTTACGATGTGAAACAGCTGCAATTTCAAGTCATTTGCTTTTAGTACAAGATCTTCGTCGTCCAAAACTATAATTTTGTTCGAAACGATGAAGAAATCGTGAATCTTTGTATGATGAAACAACTCTATATTGCAATAAATTTTATCCGCCCGAGCAAGTTGAAGGGTGGGTATTACAAGAGAAAATTAGGGTAGACCCCCTCTCCCAAATTATTTGGGGGACCAAAATGAAATATTTTTTGTGGGCTCTATATATAACCTGAGTTCCTCATAACTATACCCAAAATGGTTAGTTGATATATGTTCACTATTTATTTGGCATATTGCAGGATATTTTAGATTTATTTGTGATTTTAAGCATTTTACTACCCCCAATTAAATTTTGAGTATATCTATTTTCAAGAATATTCCCTCATAACTTTTGTTTTAGCACATTAATGCCAATCAAAAAAATCCTCAACTTTGCTCAAGTACCATTTGATAGACCCAGAAAGTATGACAGTGATGTATCCATGTAATGTTGAGAGAATAAATCCTAACAAACCCCACCCCTTCTTCACCAGTGTGAGGGGGTAAATATGAAAAAAATATTTTGTGAGTACATTATTTGTTCAAATTCTTTTTATCCTGCCTAAGGTGGTCAATTAATATTAAGTTCACAATTTATTAGGCATTTTGCATGACATTTTAAATTTATATGTGATTTAAAGCATTTTACTACCCCCAATTCAATTTTTAGTATATCTGTTTTAAAGAATATTCCCTCATAACTTTTGTTTTAGCACATAAATGCCTATGAAAAAATCCACAACTTTGCTCAAGTACCATATGATAGGTATGATAGGCGAAAAGTATGACAGTGATATGTAATGTTGAGAGAATAAATCCCAACAAACCCACCCCTTCTTCACCAGAGGGGAGGGGGTTAATATGAAAAAAATATTTTGCAAGTATATCATTTGTTCAAATTCTTTTTGATCCTGCTTAGATGATCAATTAATATGAAGTTCACTATTAATTAGACATTTTGCAGGATTTTTTGAATTAATTTGTTATTTTAAGCCTTTTACTACCCTCAATTCCATGTTGAGTATACCTCATTTCAAGACGATTCTCTCATAACTTTTGCAATAGTACATCAAAGCCTATAAAACAATTCCGCAGCATTGTTCTAATATCATTTCATAGACCCAGAAAGTATGACAGTGATGTGTCCTATTTATGTTGAGAAAAAAATCATAACAGCCTCGCCCCTTCTTCAACAGAGGGTAGGGGTGAACATGAAAAACTATGTAGTGAGTATTATGATTTGCAAACTCTTTTTTATCATACTTAAAATGGTCAATTAATGTACAGTTTGCTATTTATCAGGCATTTTGAAAGGTATTTGGAATTTACTTGTGATTTCAAGCTTTTTAGTACCCCCCCCCCCCCCAATTCACTGTTGAATATACCTATTATCAAGAATATTCAATCATAGTTTTTTTGGATCCCATTGATACCAATGAAAAAACCAACAACATTGCTCAAGTATCATTTGATAGATCCAGAAAGTAAGACAGTGATTTGTTTGATCAATATTAAGGGAAAAAATCACAAGATCCCAACCCATTCTTCAACAGGGGGTAGAGGTCATTATGAAAAGGTGTTTTGTGAGTACATTACCAGTATTTGTGCAAACTTTTTATCATGCCTTAGATGGTCTGCTCATGTAAACTTTTCTTTTTGTAGGTATTCTGTAGGGTATTTAAAATTTATTTGTGATACTAATCCTTTTAAGCCCCCCCCCCTCCCCAAATTCATTGTTGTGTACATAATGGAATCCAATGAAAAATTCTTATATTACATTACTGATATAACATTTTATAGATCCAGAAAATATGACAGTGGTGTATCTAGATAATATGAACATATAAGTTCATATAAACATTACTCCACCCCCATCAACCCGGTGTCAATGGGGGGATTTAATAATGATTCATACATGCACATACATTACCTACTGTATTGCATCAACCATGAGATTTCTACTACTATTATAAGTACGTCTATTAACATATTGTTCAAAAACTGATCCTTGTGTGGGGGTCCCTTGAGAAATGTAAATTTTAACTTGATTTTTACCTCTATGATCTTCTAAGGTAATTCATACTCATAAATGGATCATCATACACTATGGCAAATCATGGTATTCTGTGCATCTTATGGTGGATTTAAACAATGAATTGATTCATCCTTCATGCAATTAAATAATATGGCTGCAGTATTTTTATGGTAAACTTTGACCATGAAAAAACCAATGGCCTCGAAATGCCATGCTACATTAACATAAAGCTGTTTGACTATGTAAGTATAAGACTGAGAGGAACAAAACATATTTAATTTGAGGCACAGTTATGGTAAATTGCAAATTTTCAGGGTTCAATTTTCAATAGCATGTAGTTTACTATTTATTTTGCTACCTTGATAAACTAGATCGCTCAAATTGATTTAAGAAAAAGTAAGGGAGAGATTTTAGAGATTTGTTAACTCCCTCCTGCACACAATGAATAGGCAAAATATTTTTTCTGCATTATCAATATTTGTTATAATATGAAATGTGTTTGGACATAAAGATTCATATTGAACCTTTTTTAGCTGAATTTTCTTGATTAAACATCAAAAGATCTTAGAATAGTGATATAATATCCTCAAAATTAATGTTTTCAAAACGTGAAAAGGTGGACATCAAAGGGTTAAAATATCAATTTCGCAATAAACAACTAATTCCAATGATCATTACCTATAATTAATACATATTACTAATTCTTATGATCATTACCTAATAGTATCAGTTATTTCATGAAAATCTGGTAAAGAGTTTGCTCAAAATATTTCCTTAGAGTTTAACTCCCCTCCCCCCGGACCCCCTCCAGAGGTGGGAGTAAAACATAAATTTTGGGGCAAAAAGTGTGCGAGTAACTTGCTCAGATGAATTTTTCATCTATAATCAAAAATTTTATGAAATTTAATGGCTTGATTCCTGCAGGAATTTAAACAAGAAAGAACATGAAGATCCTGGACTACCCCCCCCCTTGCTTCTTGGCTTAGTTGGCTTAGATTTTTTTCTCTGTAATAAATGATTCCTATAGTTTGAAATTCATTGAGCTTATAGAATGATATCAGAGCTCACTTGCTGAATTTTCCATCAATGAAAATGAAAAGATCTTAATGACAAAATATCATCAAAATCCATGTTACCAACAAGAATCACTGGACATTAAGTGATCAAAATATTGGTAATAAATTATAAAAATACTGAAAACAAATTTTCGTTATATCTTCTAATTAAACGAACATATTTCATGGTGATATTATGAAAAACTTTTTTTTTTGTTAGTAGATAAAAATTTATATCAAGAAATTTCAAAATAATACAGTAAATCTGTATAATCAAACACCTCTCTAATCTATCAGTGTGAACACGTTTTGGGGTGGCATGTTTTGATCACTTGCCAATCCAAACACTTATGGTTGGTCCCAGTAGTGTTCAGATTAGACAAATTTTACTCCAGCTATCTCAAAATAAGCTACTCTATCACTTACACTCTACTTTACCTAACCCCGAGAAAAACTGTTCACAAAATATATTTTTTGCTTTGCCCCCCTGCTACCCCTTGGGGGTGGAGGTAAAACATAATTTTATGGGACAAAAAGTGACCAATGAATTTGCTCGGGCAGATTTTTTCATTTGAGACGACCAATATATTCATAAAATCACAAGATTCGAACAAAAAATAAGAGAAGTGCTTAGACTAGGGAAAATATACTTAACCCCCTCCCCCGCTCTTGCTTCTTAGCTTACCGGTTAAATAATTTTTTTCCCCGATATTAATGATTCCTATAATTTGAGATTTGTAGGACTTATGGAGGCATACTAGAGCTCTCTTCCTGATTTTTTCCATTAATAAATATTGAAAGATCTTATAATTATGACAAAATATCTTCAAACTCCATGTTACCAACATTGTTAATTACCGAACATTAAATAATTAAATTATTGATTTTACTAAGTAATATGAATAAAAAAACATTGAAAACTGCTTTCTAATATATTTACTTCTTGAATCAACTTATTTTATGTTGTTATATGAAAAGCTTTTCTTGAAATATTTTTTTTCGTTTTGACCCCTGCTACCCCCTGGGGATGGGGGCAAAACATAATTTTCAGGGACAAAAAGTGACCGACAAACTTGCTCGGGTAGATTTTTTATTTCAAACAATCAATATATTCATCAAATCATAATGACTTAATTTCTCCATCGTTTCGAACAAAAAAACGAAGAGCATAGGCTATTTGGAGAGAGTATTATTTCTTGATGTGTCGCTATAGAATGAACTACACACTTATGACACACCTATTACACAATATCCTTTTTATTAGGGAGGCTGTACACATGTATTGATATAACTGAGTACCCAATATGCCTTAGTTGGTGAAATATTCAAAAATGACCGTAATATCCGCACCTTGCGCACATATCTGCACCGCTTGTTTCGTATAACACAGTCTGTACCTGTATGGAGCAGTTTGGTGAAACAGAACTCTCACAACACAAAATATCACGATCATCAAACGATAACGGAATCTATACATAGAACAAACATACGCACATGTTATATTTTCATGCTTAGATGGCAGTTCGATCGACACGTATCTATGATTACAATAGACCTTTCCAATAAAGCCCGACCCCTATTCGTGAACCAAGGAAACTAAGGTGTTTTGGCTAGGTTTATGATGTCATTCTTTACAGGCAGCAATGTTTGTAAACAAAATTGAAAGAAGTTTTTGAAAATTAACAATATTTTAATCCTATTTTTGGGCTGAAATTGTAAGAATGACATCATAACCAATAGATAGCATGATTTACTGGATTGGTCTATTATTTGGAAAATATCGTATCTCACATATAGGAGCATCATTATAGCACGCTATATCGACCCAAATGAACATAATAGGAAGCTTTCTTTTGCGAAAATTCGCGGGGGTAAATACCATTTTCGTGAGCCGGATTGGGAGCTGAATACGATTTTCATGAGCGCCGGGATTAGACGGGACAACGTGATATTTTTTTTTCAATATCAAGAATACTCCCGGGTGTTTTTCACCTGGATGGGGTTTGAATTGTGAATTCGAAATATTTTGGAGGACAAGAAAACCTGCTATCTCTTCAGCTATCTGTCAAGAAATTGGGGAATAATTGATGAATATAGAACAGAATTAAATGAAATATTTGTATATTCTAGCTATAGTTTATCGCATTGCTGACTACATTATAGTGTGCCAAATCATTCAGACATTAAGTGCATGCGAACTTTACATTTAAATTTAAATTTGAAAAAAACTTACTACTCCATGAACCAATTCCGGCTATGCAGTGACCGTCCTTGTGTTGCAGATACGCTGTAATCATATCTTTCTCCATCTCTTCCGTGGTATCATGCATGCATTTCAGCATTTCACTAGGGATATCTGAAATAAAATATGTAAGTAAGGTATTTCTGACCTGGACGTTATTATAGGGTGCAGCTCTAGTTTCCTTAGTCTCACTGGCAGTTCCAGGGGAGGGGGCATGACCCCCCCCCCTTTGTCGGCCTAGAAAAAAAGTAGGGCCCAAAAAGATTTTGGCCCCGAAAAATTTGTAGGGCCTCAAAAAATGGACTTTTTTGGGTATAATTTGGCCTTTGTAGGCCTTTTGTTAGGCTAAATTATCAAAAATGGCCCTTAGATTTTCAAAATGTGGGCCCAATTGTTGGTTTTAGGGACCTACAATTATTTTCCTGACTCAAAATTTGCCTCCCCTTGTTAGCTTCTGGATTCACCAGTGAGTCTTGCATTAATTCTCTTTTAATGGGCGAAAAAGGTTTTTGCCACGATGTGATGTCACGATCACATCACTTAGGGTGCAAAATATTTTTGATATGCTTAAACATTCATTGCACATTTGATTGATTTGATTTTATTATTGAAATAGTGTGTCCTTTGAACAATCTTTGCATTGATGTTAAAAAGCTGTCAACTGTTTAGCTGTCAACTTTTTTTCAAAAATCTCTAAAATAACAAATAATAAATGAATGATAAAAACATATTTTCAAACTTAACATGGAAACTTTAAATAATTAAATAATATACAGGATTACTGCGTTTCCATTGCTTCTGCATTAAAGTGTTTTGTAACAAAGCATCGATTGTCTTACCTTCTAGATGCTGATTGGCCTCAACTACTTTGGCTTTGTTCTCTGTAATAGTAAAAACAATAAATACACGTAGATAGAAAATAATTAATATCAAAGTATCAAAAAAGTATGCGAAAAGAAGTTGACATAGCAAACCACAAAGTGGATTAAAGTGCTGCAATGTTAGATAGCCATAAACAAACGTGTTCCGTTGTCCTCTCTTATCAAATTGATTGATTGTGAAAGGTCAATGAAACTGTGTTGTGGTCAGTTATAGCTGATCATATTTTACCTGTAGAGAGGAAAGGGTGTAACACTGTAGTGTCAATGTCGCAGTTAGCTTGTTTGGTTTCAGCCAATTCCATATCGAAAATAGCTGTCATTACCCATTCTTGTATCAGTGTTGTTGATGTGTCCTGACAGCTCGATAGTGCTTGGTTATATGCAGCCAATCCATTCTACAATATAAAATTAAAGCATCACTACTCCCCATCTAGTTTTTTGACAAAGTAACAACATAGATGACTTTCCGGTTTCTAGATTTTTATTCCTAACCACTAGTATATTCTAACACCGGAATCTTTGCTACAGTTTCGAGCCAAATTATAGCTTGTAATTTGATCTATTTCAAAGTGTAAATCGAGAAACCGAAAATCTATGGACCGGAAAAACGTCCATGCTGTTACTTTGACGCTACTTCCAAGTTAGCTAGTTGGGAAGGAGAGGTTTGGGATTCATTATTAAATGTAAAATTTTTGATATGTGATCTGTTTTAAACTTTTTGAAATAAGATCTATCTTGAGCTTTTTGATGTTGGATCTGTGCTGATTTTTTAAATGGATATACATTCTCCGATCGCAGGGCCCCAAAATCCGGAATATCTTCCCCAGGGGAAAGAAGGAGAAACCTTTCTGTAGTCCTGAGGTCGGAGGATGAGGATCCGCATGTATGTCCTCAAAGATTGTACAGAGTGGCATATTATATATAACTATTTGCACTAATGAGTAATATCAACTGCGGCCGATGGAATATCATCGTTACCACTAGTAGTCATTCAATTTGTCATAAATGCATCAACTGACTCACTTGGTTGTACTGACAAATAGTCTGGCCTTCCTGTTTTGTAAGAGTGTCTTCAGCATTCATCAACATCATCTCACAGGAATCTAGGATGAAGAATATTTCAGATTGCACTCATTGATTGCACTTATTGATAAGAGCTAGAATAGTTTAATGATTCAGCAATTCGAATATTTTGCTCATGATATGAAACAGGTCTTCCTATTTTCTCCTAAATACACCATATGTAAACAATTCCTTTATTCGAGGTGCATTCTTTTCTAAACCGTGGGAAAGTAAAAAATCAACAGCATGCCTAATCTTTGGAAATTTTGGTATGGTGATGTTTTGTGTATCAACGAATCCTGGCATAGTTATTTTTATTACATGATTCATTCATTTTTGATGAAAGTACTTGTATTTTCAATCTTTTCAATCAAAATTTATTTAAAGAACGAAAGTGTGCACGTGCCACTAACGATCTCAAACATATCACATGAGTTATTTTTTCTCGCTTCAATATTAACACAAATCAGGCATTGAATTTATTTATTGAGAGTTTGAGTAACGTGTTTCCATGATTTTTTATTCCTTTTTAGCTCAATTTATATACTACGCATAGTGCTTCTTTGAAGGCTCATAAACTGATAAAGTACTTAAAGAAAAAAGGGGACAAAAATAAAAAAATATTTTCTAATATGCAAAGTTGATGTGCCTTGAATAATTCGTTTCAATAAATTGTCAACTCTGGTTTTAGATGAATTGATTCAGTCAATGTCTTATTTCCTATTTTATTATATTATATACCCAATATGTAACACTAATTCTGATTGGTCAATACCTAGTCACGTGTCCCGAAATAGATGTACTATTTCCCTTCGAAAGTTAAATTCTCTCATTCCCTCTGGGAAATAATTTACACTATTGCCCTCCATGGCAGTCACTATTTGTATAATATTATATCGGCACAACCTGTGATACAGTCTCATAAATCTCTCAATTCATATCATTTTACATTTACACTTATAATTCATAGACTAGCGAAACTATCATTAATACTTGGCATCACCATTAAAAAAATTTAAGTGGATTATTTTTCAATCCTACCAATATAATCTGCTCGTCCTATTGAATTCGGAATGACACAATATTTAACATCTTTATAAGTATAAAGGTTGAATTTTTAAACAAGCTAATTTTATTTTGGCTGCATTTTTAAAAACTCACCAACTTCGCGACGAACAGCTCCCTGGCAGATGCTGAGAAGGAAAACTGCGCATGTCAAAGTCAGAGTTGTCTTCATGGTTGTCGTTTGTGCTCTCTTCAGTGTCAATGGTGAGAATGATTCGACGTGGAGATTAACTTGATCTTATATACAATTAGAGCTTTACCCTGGATACATTCAAATAAATAATTCATAATGTTTTTTTCATTTTTAAAAAATAAATTAATAGGGGTTTGGCCTATGGAGTTGAATATTTGGGATAATGTGTTTTCCATTCTTTTACATATTAATAGGGGTTGATCTATGGAGTTGATAATATCTCTATTTATTTAATAATATTCTGGACTAAGTATTGTTTATATTGTAATTATTTCCAGGGATTCAATATCTGGAAGGGAATATCTGGTACGAATTATTGTATATGTTGCTATGATTTTTAGGGGTTTGTCTTTTTCACTTTATTATTTGTTATTATTAAATTTGTCTCATTTTGTGGCAATAAAATGTTAAAACTGACAAAAAAAGAAATCAACTTCACTTCATATATCAAATGAATTTAGGATTGGTATCGATATGGCGAATTATTACCACCTTGCCGGGCCAGTTCTAGGGGTTTTAGTGCTAGTTTAGAAGGCGTTCATTTTACTTCATCGACCTGAGAAATGTGTGACGTCATAGTGGTGGTCCATATGGACCGGTCTAGAATATATTCTGGACCGGCAATTATATTCCCCGTGAAATTAGATATCGTTCAGTGCGTAAGATTTTCTTGCTATTTCAGCCCTGGTCGTTAACGGTGGTAATAATACTAATAACGTCATTTCTGCGAGCAATATAGTGAAATATTGGACCTTGGCTTGGGCTTGGCCCTTGGTCCAATATTTCACTATATTTGTCATGTATGTTAATAATTAATGATTCATTTAAAGATGTCGCCATCTGTCAGTAATAGCTTCCCCAGACCGCTTTAGCGAAATCACTCTATTATATTATATCGACTATGTTATGTTCTCAGTAAGGAAATAAAAGCACGTGAAATATTTGCAAAACACCAATCTGTATTTGCTTGATTGTCGAATATATGTAACAATATTGCCCTTAGAAATGACGTTATTGTACTATTGAATTCAACATTGTTTTTCTCTCAAACTAATTATTGAAACGTGCTGTAAATTTAGAAAAACACGGTCATTTATGTAATGGTCACTGATTGACAACAATTTAATGTAAAAAAGATGATCATAAAATTGACGATGTTTCAAATTTTCAAAGTTTTTTTTATAACTGGTTGAAGAGAAACATGTGTTTAATTCTTTCATGTTTAGATTTTTGAACTGAGCATGTTTTTGTACACAGTGACATAGCAAACAGTACCTGCTTGGTTTGACAATGTATGTATCTTTATTTCCCACATAAGAGTGGATATTTTGGAGATATTAAATTTGAGATTGTAAGGAATATATGGTAGGCCAGTCGTGCATTTCACTTGTACTTGCAATGCGTTACCCTCTGTAGATGTGATTCTTTCTAAATCTCCACAGGTGACTACCGATGTTGGAATTGTCATAATTTTACAACCATTGGTACAATCCAAAACCCCAAAACATGCATGGAAGCTACAGTGGATATTTGCAAATATATGTTAGAGGATATTTATCAAAACGTGGATGAGTCAGCATAAACTAATTAAAGTAACATAATTATTAATGTTATATATCTCCCTTATTCTGTTAAAAAATAATAATAACTTTTATTACAATAAATACTATTATAACAATAATATTATTATGCCCTGTATCTATCAGTAATATTGAAAACAAATACTGCGAAATCTCAGTATCGCGTGATCTACCACTCCAAAATATAATTAGAACTCGTTTGAAGCAGATTTCTATACTATTGAATATTGAAAGCATGATAGCCAACTCATAAAAATAGATTGATGAACACTGAACATATCTTACATAGTTCTGAAAAATTGCAAGACTAAATGAAACATAAAATGCAATACTTATGGTATAACAACACATAAATGAATAGATAACCAATCATATCGCCTTTCGAAGTGTTGAATTCGATAGACTCATCAGAGAGATGTTCCTATCAGAACTATAGGGGTTGCCAAATTTCAAGCAACATGAACAGTTGACATTCCAAATTCTTTACAATCTCAAATATCTTCCAAAAGATCCGAAGATCTTTGGAATATCATCAATTGGCAACCTCACCTTAAAGGTGATTGGAGCAATCGAAACCTTGTGAATCAAGATGGTGAGATTATTTCGTATTCAAAATACAAAATGGAGATAATGTTTGTAAAAAATGATGAATATGGTCACCACATTTACAGAAAAATGAACGAATTTAAGTAGATATCTTAAATGTTCGTCAAATAAGTATGCCCTTTAGAAATTTAAAAAATAGATACATGATATAAAGCCAAAAACTATCCTAAAATTGTAATAATTTGTCGCTTGATTTGATACTACCTTTAAGATTAGAGATAATCTCGATCATCGATAGGTGTTTACTTAAGAGGTGTTCACATTTATATATGATAACTGCTTAAAAGAGGTGTTCACATTGATATTGATAACCACTTTAGAGAGGTGTCCACATTGATATATGATGACTACTTTAGAGAGGTGTCCACATTGATGTAAAAAATGCTTCAAAAATTGCTTCAAACGTCAACAGCCAACCAAGTACAACATGAATATCACACCCATCGAATGCTATACTCAAAATAAGTAGCACATACTTCTTATTCCCATTATTGGGGAAATCGTCAGACAGCTTAGTTTAGTTTCAGTAATGAAACGCTCCGTCGTGCATGAAAGAGCGTTTGGGTTGAACACCGTGATTTTTATATGATTACCACTTTAGAGAGGTGACTACATTGAAATATGATAACTAGTTTAGAGAGGTGTCCACATTGATATATGATAACCACTTTAGAGAGGTGTCCACATTGATATATGATAACCACTTTAGAGAGGTGTCCACATTGATATATGATAACCACTTTAGAGAGGTGTCCACATTGATATATGATAACCACTTTAGAGAGGTGTCCACATTGATATATGATAACTACTTTAGAGAGGTGTCCACATTGATATATGATAACCACTTTAGAGAGGTGTATAAGTTTGGTTGTGGTCACCTGTTTTGACATTCATAAAAGTGTGGCCCCCACTGGTATTTCTTCCACAATTCCAAGAAATATCTCCCCATAGTTTCTTCTCATAATGAGAAAGTGTGGTTAAGGTGTTCCTGATACTATGGAGGAGCAGGACATTAACTTTAATATGATTTAAGGTAACCATATTGTTAATAGGGGTTAAAAGGGTTAATGCTTGTTAAAATATTTTTTGTTTACTGTACATGATACGTCTGTTATACCTGTTATTCTTGTATCTAAATTGTTTTATGCATCTTCTTTGAAATATTCCATTACGCATGTGACAACTATGAGAATGCTGTATGATGGAAACATAATTTGACCACATATTCATAGTAACTTTGTGTACAAGGGGCAGATGAAAAATACAAGAGGCGGCATTCAAAATAACCAATTTTACGCTCACGACAATGCAAATTCTTGTTATTTTTAGAGTCCATGGACTGAAAGAAAGATGTCCAAGGTTTGTCAAAGTCATTTCCACGTGTGATGTGGCAAGACATGGGCTCCACAAAATAACACCTGGAACTGTGGAATGACTAGGGCAACTTATAGAGAATGTCATTTACCTTTTATAAGATAACTTACCCTTACACAGGTTGCATTTCACAAATCCAAATGCACCTGTTAAATTGAACACTTTTGATATAAATCAAAATCTAGAATTGTCATTATTAAAATGAGAGTGATGTATTAATAGATGATTCACTTGTGATTATGTGTATATCAGATTCATTTTAGTTTTTACCACCTCCAGACATTGCCAGAAGTGGTGACATACAGGGTGTTCCAAAAGTAACAGGACTGGTGCTGGTATTTTGTTAAATATGCACCATTTGTCTTCAAAATTTTACATAATGTACCTTCATGTTTTTTAACTAAAATTGCCGAATTACATAATTTTTGTCGAAACTGATTTAGACATCGGCCGATGACTACTCATCGGCCGGCGCCCGGAGCATATGTGTCCTAGGCATTAGAGAGAGAGACCGAGGTGGGAGATATCCCCCTCCCCTCTACACCAAACTTGTTCTCACTACGTTTTCAAAAATTGGCTGAAAGGCCTCCTCACACATTATTAAGGAAAACATATCTACACATTTTGCGCATTTAACCATTTGATAACATATTGTGGATCTTATCTTAATTTGTTAATGTGAATTCGCACCTTCATTTGCATGGAAGACTTTGATAAAAATCCTTTTTTGATGATTTTTGTTAGAAAGCTGATGTTTGGCTAAGCTTCGACAAAATTCCAAATTGAACAGTCTACTAAGAATACCATGTTGTAAATATTGTTTTCTTTGTCGAGCTAGGACTGCTCAAACAAATTCGCTTTTTGTAGCTACATGTACAAGTATTTAATTCCAATGGATGATAAACTTCTCAATATTAGAAATTACCCTCATAAGACATTGTTGCAAGGTGTGTTGCAATGAATGTGGCACCCCGCATTCCCGGGCCCGCATTATGTATTCTCGAAGAAAGCCATCATGATAAACCATGACATCTCATTTCTTCTCAGCCCTGTGTTTCAGGTGAAACAGAAAGATGCCATGAGTATCAGAATGAAAGAAAGCATATATTTGCATTGATGGTATAGATAGTTATTTTATATAGTGTTTTAGTTGTACATGGAAACCGATTCTAACCAGGAAGGATATTGCAACTTTTTTCAAGATCCTAAAGTTGCAATTCTCGTTATTGTGTTTCATTGTAAAGACGCACCTATGAAAGTGTGTCTCTGATACAAAGGCGTAGTTCTACATTAATTTAACATAGCCGTAGGCAGCGGGGGTTCGGTGGGTTCGAACGAACCCCCGGTCAGGATTTCCCAAAATATCATTTTGCGGGAAAATGCATATAACCAGAAACACTAAATTACGGTGCTATT